TATCAGCATGGTGATCCTACCCTTAAACAACATTTTGAAGTTTTACTGAGCAGCAGACCCCCACATACAGGCAAGTGGAAGATCTGGAAATCCCTATTGACGGCTCCCTTAAGCCGGCTAACCACTTTGGCTGGATGTGAATATAAAGTGTTTTTAGATATGTGGGAAAAAGTGCAAGGCTGTACCATAAGAGGAGCCATATTTCTGTAAGGGGAAGAGAAGCCTTGTGGAGAGAAAGATGGATGCAGTTATTGTCTCCCAGCCTGCCCCTGGATCAGTCTCTCTGATTGATTTACACAATGCATTGAGATGCATGAGTTCTGATTTTCAAACGCCAGCATTTGTACCGACTTTCTTCTGACCAGATCACAACACTCTTAACACACCACACACAGCAGGATTATTTCCCCAATAATTCTGGCCTTTCAGAAGGCTAAGATCAGGGGAAATATAATATGTGAGCTCTAAGAAAGTGCTTAGGTTATATGTATCTGCAAATTAACCTTATGATCTGCTTGCAAAAGAATATGTTATAAAAAAACTGGTCTCATATCATCCTGATCACACTCATTCTCACATAAGATGGTGGTGGTGGCATTATGCCCTGGTAGTGCCTTTGTTCTGTTACCTTTAAATAGTTTATGAGAAGATAGATGGTGCAAAATGCAGGGTAATGTTAAAAAATATCTTTTTGAGAAGGCAAATAAACTAAGAGTGTTGCTGAGTTTATCTTGTCAGCAGGACAACACTAGAAGTACCTGCAGTGGATGGTTTAAACTAAACCATGGCTATACTCCATACAGTCTGAGATTGAGCTAGTTTAATAAGAACAATCAGCTTAGCTGGCAAAATCTTATCCCGGGTGTGTTCTGGCTCCACAAATATTATATTGCCATTATATGATTTCAAAAAATGTCTTAGCCTAATTATACAATTCTGATAAAGTCTTTTTGTGTTTTATGGTTATACTATGCCAAAATGTATAAAGGTCCAAGCATGTATAGTTATTTTGTAGTTTGATTTAGTTTACTGGGTTTCTCTCTTGTTTATGCCAGCTCTCCATACTCTCAATGGCTCGCGGAGCCCTCCTATACCTACTTTGTATTTCAGAGTAGCTGCTGCGCATGTACAAATTTTAACGAGAGTCAAAGGGCAAAGATTTTTGCCGCCCTGTGTCACCGGTCCTGTCATAACCTTTACGGACAGGATTTCTATGAAAAACCGGAGGGAGTTTGGTTGGGTAACAGCGGATTTGTCGGGGAAGCAGCCATGGTTCTTGACCGGAAAAAGTTGGCTCTGGGAATCTCTGCTAAGAATGCTGCCCCTACGACTCAGTCCTGAATAACCTGAAGAGGATGAGTTGAAGTACTGTTGCGTCATTCCTTTCTCTAACCCACCCTCCAGTCATCTTTTTTGTTTAAGTCTATAATTTCCAGTCGACACACCTATTTAATATAAAAATTTTATTTTCATGCTGTAGCTGTAACAGTGCTTCATTGTGGTATTTATAGCTGTTAAAGTATTGACTGCATCAGTGAAGTCTCTCCACCTTTTCATATTTTTTGTCTTTTGTTCCAACTTTTTGTATATGCATTCAGGGACCTTTCAGTATTGCGAGTGATTGATTCATTGACTTTATTGATCTCACAGTGGAGAAATGTACTGATAAAATCAGCTAAAATAGTAAAAACAAAAGAAGCAGTTGCTAAAGGAAGAAAAAGGTGCATGGGATATATAGAGTATATACAGTGCATTCGCATACAGTATGACAGCTTTTTTATTTTATAGCAGGGTTATACAGGGTTATCTGTATATATATATATATATATATATATATATATATATATATATATANATATATATATATATATATATATATATATATATATATATATATATATATACAGCACAGATGTAGTACGGTAATAGAGAATGCATTGTCTTAAATTATAATACATTAAGCAATAACAATTTAACTCAAGTCACAATTTCAGCAGCATCATCCATAAGAAGAAAGTCTGTGCAACAAATGTAAAACAGCCAACACTGCTGTTCTTCATTTTTTATGTGTTGCCTGAGGATATCCGACATGACACCGGTGCACACCACTGGCAGGAGTGAATGACATTTCAGCCAATAACGGGCGAGAGTTTTCTTCCCTCTGTTGTCAGCTGTGGTTTATCAATCACTATGTCTGCATCAGTATTAGTGTATTGATCCAGGAGGGTGGCTCTCTGGGTCAACGTCTCCTCTCCAATGTCCTTGTCTGGTTTTTCCCCATCCTCCCCTTCCTCTGCCGAGTTGCTGCTCCTGCTAAAAATGTCTCTATCTTCTCTTAGTGCTCAGTAGGCTGGATATTTGTAGATAATGGTGGTTTCAGCACACACACCCACCACTTATGTAAGCTCCAAAGCACGTAGACCGATATGCAGGCAGCGTTGTGTGATGTATAATGGCGGGCTTACACAGGCTAAGTGGTAGTCAAAGCGTAAAGACAGCCTGTGTGAAGTATTAGCTCTGACAATGAGGCTGATCATAATTATCTTAACAAGTGCAGGATTCATTGCCTCACCTCGTTAAAGTGCCTCTCCGTCTCTGAAAGCTTCTGCCGCTTGGTCTCTTGCATGGTAAAGGTTTAACAAAAAGCTGTTTGATCACACATGAAAATGTTATTTTTCTAAATATGTTCTGAATTTCAGTGCTCTGATTTCAATTAGTTTTCATACAGTTTTAAAGGTTTTTCTTTCATATTCAGCTTATGCGAAAATGACAATGAGTGTCTTTTAAGAAAACATTGCTGTTGTTTTCTGAGGAGCAGAGCTAAAATTTGCATTACTTTTTGTTTATATTTACAAAATGATATGTCTGTGTACTTTTTTTCCCCCCTCCCTACCAATAAACAAGTCTCAGCTGCATACTATCTGAAGTCAGTTGTTCCAATTAGTTTTCTTGAAGGAAAACACTCCCTTTTTTCTGCTTTTTTAATAGGGAAAAGGCCTTTACTGCAGTGCTTAAACTTTGTTCGTTCTCCAAGCTGCGCATTAAAACAAGGCTTATAAAAAGTAATGAAAGCAGCTATGAAAGTCTGCAGAGGGGAGCATAAAAAGCAAGAAAGTATTAGAAGTTCAATCCCAGCCAGCTAATGCTGGATGGGACCTAGTGGCTCTCCCCTGGCTGTGAATTTAACTGATTAAATCAGCCAGTGCACGCAGTGGTGGTGACATGAAAACAACAATTAATAAGGCTCCCCCCTGTGCCATGCGGCTCCCTTTAACCGAGCAGCTAATAACATAACCCACAGGACTGCAGCCTATCATACACAAACACACACACACATATATAGTTAGCTTTACTGTTTTTGGTTAGCTGCCTTTTGTTCACAGTAAATTCAATGTTTATCCAAAGATTTTTTTTTGCCAATATTCATTAATAAATCTTATATTTCTTAACAAATATGTTCTCATGTTGCCAATGAAACATATAAATATATAAATGTCCGATTTCTCAAGAGTCTTCTGAAATGTTCATCCTATTGAAATATCACAAAATAATGAGAATACATGTAACAAGCATATTTTTAATATTCTGATGCAATGGTAAGGATGATCTGTTTGATGGGTTTCCTCTGTTTTAATAAACAAGAAATGCCAAAAGGTGAAGACAAAGTTTAAAAGAAAACTGGCACGTCTGTTAGTTCATCCATCTTACAGCTGCATAAACCATTCCTGATAAGAGGCTGTCAGTGGGCAGGTTTGCCAGCAGACTGGCAGGATGCTGTCAACTTTTCCTGTCAGTGTGTGTTTTTGTTGATGTCTGTTAACTCTGACTCTACTGCTATTCAGCAAACTACACATGGCTATTTTCCACACTAGTTAATCGTTGCAATGATTAGCTTTGTTTATCATATTTAGTTAAAGTTTTCATCATGTGCATCTATAACTTATTTAGTTATTTTGATGCCGGTAAAAAAGCTCTCTGGGATTAATCTAACTTTGGGTTATTGCTTTCTCCCCTTTTCTAGATCAATTTGTATCCCATGTCGGGTTATGTATTAATTATAAATATGTTTTAAAGATATGTTGAGATTTAAATGTTTGCTTTACTAAGCTACCAAATTATACAGAATTTTGTATTGAATTTAAATCAGCTGTAGTTTGAACTGCAGTAAAAGATGTAAGATCTGTGTCTGTATTCTGTCAGATTTAAATGTCAGTGAAGTCTCCCAGGACGCCTTAACATGGCACTCTGACAGTGAGGGATTAGACGGCACACACATTGCCCTTTGTGTGGCTTCCATGACTTGAACTTTGCAGGGCTCTAACATAACTTTTAGCACCCTCTTCCTTCAGCACTATGCCTGTGCTAATATGTATATACGCGTGAGAGGGACGGACAGGAAAGAAGCTTGAATGATCCCTCACTTGTGTGCAGTGTGTCATAAAACGAAACAGAAGGGCCAAATGTTGCCTTCTTTAAAGAAGAAAAAAAAATCTTTGATGTTGTAATCCTAACACTAACCCCCATCATGTCACAGCGGCAGAAAAAAGTTTCCTTTCTACTGCATCTGTGATTGTGAGTGCATCCCAGTTCCTCTGTGAAAATGATGGATGACAAGTTAAATTTGTGTCTGGGGAGTGAAGGTGAACTGTGACAGAGTGATTTGTCTTGGGAATGGAGGGTTAGGGTCAGGCGAAACTGGGCGCCTCAAGGCACAAGACATTGACAAATTCATCCTGCCCGCTGCATTTCTGAAGCCTTTTGTTTTGAATCCTGGCTACTCACAAGTGACCCCCATCCCTCATCCTGCCAGCCGCTGAAGGATGCCTCGCCATGCCAGGGGAGCTCAGCGCCACAAATTCTTGTCATTCACTTCACTGACAGGCTCGGGCTCAGACTCTCCTGTCGCATGAAAGGAGAGAGGCTGAAATATTTATTTCTGCACAATAACCCCTGAGCAGATTCTGAGCCATAACCGCTTTACTGTTTCCTTATCATTACAGGTCGCTGGCAGGCCTCAAAATGTTTACTGAGCTGGAAGAGTTGGTCGTCGACAACAATCTGCTTGGAAATGACCTCCAGTTGCCCAGGTTACCCAAGCTCCACACCCTGACACTCAATAAGAACCAAATATCCTTTGAGAATAATCACTTAGGCCACAATTTTCTCTTGATTTGTACTGCATTTACAGACATAAATTCAGGAAAACTGTTTATTTTTTGCCTTATTTCATGAGTGAGTACAATCCCCTATTGTCTGAAAAAGTTGCTTAGTAGTGATGTGGCTTTATAGAAAGCACTCCACACTGCAGAAGAGAGTAGAGGAACTCGGTTATCACTCAGCTACACACATGACTGGTTTTTGAACCACAGGGACCTCTAGTGGAATAAGATTCAACAGTTACAATAACAAGTACTTGTATTTTCAGAGTGGAAACTAATGGAGCATCCAAGATTTTCTTATCAAAAACCTGAATAAATCTACATAATCCGCCCTGAAATTAAAAGTATCATCTATTTAATTTCTTCTCAGATAGTACAGTTTCAGGTCGCTTACTCCAGCAGTCTTGTGTGTTCTATATGCCTAACACTGTAAACATGTTAAAGCCAGAGCTCAGTGGTGTCGCTGTAGATTTAAGGCATAGACGTAAAACACATTGCGAGGCTGTTTATGATCAGTCGGAGAAGTGCGAACTTCCTCTCTGAGCCTCAGAGCAGGTTCGGTAATGTGTCCTGTTTTCCTTTGGTTATGCAGATCCTGCTGGGTAACGATGTTCACTCTCACACACACACACTTCCAGAGTCAACATTAAAACTGGGACTCCTTAAAGTGTGCATCTGGGACTGTGTGCTCAGTTCGGTTGTGAAGTGGTCGGCACATGCTAATAGGCCAATTATGTACATCCTGTCGTGGCACAGTGCCATTTTAAAGCTGGAGCGCCGCATTAGTGCAGTTGTATTTTGACACTTTGGGGCTCAATTTTCCAAGTGAATGTATTAGTGATGAATGTGCCTGCTTAGGGGCTGTTTGTTTTTTTTCCATGTTTCGCAAAACTTTTCCACAGCGTAGCTCCGAGAAGCACGGACTGTTTGAACCGCAGGGCATCCATCATTTTGTCACCGTTGTGCACCCGGCCACCTAGGAAATGAAAGAGATTCGACAGAAAGAGTGAGAGCAGGAGCCAAATTGTGTCAGTGCTATATGCCAAGGCCTGCACCTTAAATTGCCCCTCTGTCTGCCCACTCTCACAAAGTCACTGACTAGCTTCTTTGAGCACCTCAGTAAATTTGACAGTGACGTGTTTTAGTGCAGACAGGCCTGGGAGGGGTTGTGTGGGTAGTGAATGCTAATGTAATTAACAGCGCTAGGTCCTTGACATCTGCCCTTTGACACCTGACTGATATCGAGGCCCTGCTGGATAACTTGGCTGACGTGACCCCATCGCTGCAGTACCTAAGCCTGCTGGGAAATGAGGCCTGCCCCAACCAGCTGGTAAGCCTGGATAAGGATGACGACGACTACCAGAGATACAGGTCTGTTAATATGTGAATAAAATTTCATGACTTAACATCTGAATGAGGAATTGAAGAAAAAAAAGGACTCAGTATAGACATTGAGCCTATAATTATATATATACTACTGATTTAGATTGCTTACATAGATAATCGTCATTCATTAAAAGTTTTTCTGTCGTAGAAAATGAGTGGGGGAATATTTCAAAAACATTGTGGGAGGAGGAAAATGTAAAAGTGAAACTAAAATAAATCATTTGTTTATATATACTTCTAATCCAGTGAAATTGCTTGTTTATAAGGATTTGTATCCTTCTGGATAATGTATAGAACAATCTCTTTTGGCAGTGCAGCAACTGAATTTGTAGAGATATCTTTTTTTTTATTTTATTTTTTTTTTCATGCTGTTGTTTTTTTTTCTTTTTCTTAATCTTGGTGATTGGTTGCAAATCCTTGGGTTTTAAAGACCTCCTTCCTGATAGCATAATGTTTAGCTTTGCTCAACAGATTCTCCATCAGATTAAATGTAAGGGCCCTGGCTGGACAAAAACATTTTAGCAAATAATATAAAAAGATAGGGAATAAAAAAAAAACATTACTTTAAACCTTTGTCTGCCAGTGGTATGAATATTTCACTTCACTGTACCAAAAATTGTGAATCAGTAAAAATGCATTATTTCCTCAAACAGATTGTTGAGACTTTCAAAGGTAAGTTCTGTTAAAACGTTACAAGCAGTTAATATCTTACCTACAGTATTCTACTCTCTTAGTATCTTATTTAATTATAAAACCATATTAGTGTGTTCTTGAATGTGAAGCTTACAGCTAGTCGTGGAGAGACTGATATCTACTGTCTTATAACAACCTCTGTCTCAGAAAACTCAATGGTTAACCTTTAAAACCTCTTACTATTTGAATTAGCTCTTACCATCCCTCTCCAGAACAGGCTAACGTGGATTTATGTAAAAGAAGACAACTAAAGGCTTAATTTTAGTCTCAATCTACTTGAGGAACGATAGAAACTTCTCAACTGTTTAACAGAACATTGCTTCAAAATACCTAAACTATCCATTAGTTTTTATATCGTTAAGTTTGGAGCAATAATTTATAGATTGAATTGAATCTCAATGTAATCAATTGGAAGGTGTGGGTTTTTGACCACCGGCATTTCAGAACTAGACTGTGGACTCAGCTGCATCAACCTAAAAGCTTTGTCAACTGGCCTCGCTACACTACAGTTTATAAAATGGATTTCATGTGTGACTAGTCATTGCCACAAATGAGTGTTTACTACTCTGCCTTACCAGAGCAGATGATGCATTAAACATCAAGCCAAGCCTCGAGTCAGGCAATATGACCACTATTTGTCAGGGTCCTTTACATGAAATGTGATAAAAGGCGAAAAGCATACTCTCTTTTGTCTGTTTTAGCCCTAAGTGCTTGTTTCTGACTCTGTGTTTCCTATTAATCATTTACCACCCATGCCTTTCTTGAATAAGCTTTTCTTCTTTCTTTTTGTCTCTATACACCACCCTTCCACCCCCCCCTCCTCCTCCCTGCCCTCAAACTCCCTTCCCTCCCATTTTTCCCCTTCTACTTGCCTGCTTATCTTACTGGCAAGGAAAGCTGTTCTGTTTTGACTGACAACGTCTACGGTCCTGTAATGTAATATTCATAGTGTGTCACATAGTAAAACATCAATTTGAGCGTGATGCAGATTTCATGTCTGACAAGGTTAGGCTGTATGCAGGTCGTGACAGCACTGGCCTTGGGCAATAAATACCCAGCCCAGTGCCTGAAGAGTTCTCGCTCTCTCAAGTGAAATATCCTGGTGCGCCACATCGGTGACCCAATTAGTGCAGTGACATAGAAATATAGCACTCATTCCCTGAACACTGTGGTGAGCAGGGAGGTTAAATGTTCTCTTCTTCTTTGGTGACTTTAAAATCCTCACTGTCCCTTTCTTTGTAGTATAGAATACAGTATAAAGGTGAGTCAGAAATGTATCACCTAATTTAAGTTATTCGTTTTGTAAAAACAAGAATTGAACAGAAACTGCAAATTTTAATTCTTCACAGCTATAATAAAAATCTCTAAAAAAAACATTAGTGTTCATTTTAAAATTTATGGTCATTATGGCATCTTATTTCACCTTCAGAGTATACATTATTCTAATTAAAAAGATTCCTTTTTTTACTTTTTTATGTCTCTCTCATTCCAAAACTGTCATGAGTAACACCTCCTCCCCCCAAAAAAATAAAAAAATTAAAAAAATAAAAAACTGTATTTCTGAAGTCTGATTTTATGCCTCTTTCACAGATACGTATTTCCTGGTCTATTGGCTCTTGAATTAACTCTAAACATTACAAGTACATCTCGAAAAGGAAGTCAATTATAAATTCGCTTCTTCATTCTTTGTTCTTATTAAAAGTAGGCAAAATCTGCAAACTCAGTAAACAGACCTGAGATTGCAGGTTTCATGCCTGCAAGGGAAGTTAAGGCATGAGGCACACATTAAAAATGGGAAAAACATTTGAAAAACAACTCCAGGCCAATTTTACAAAAGATCGCCTAGATATAATGTATTAAAAAGCTAATCTTATGGAGTTGGCTCCTTGTCTTATTTAGAGAAATTAAGTAAAATATCACTTTAAAAATGTGAAGGTGTGGAGAAGTGTAATAATGAAGCTCCACTATAGAAAATTTGATCTAGTAGCATAATTGAGTGACTTAATTTCCTCTTTGAGGCAGTTCTCTTCTCTCAGCAGTGGCCTTTGGTAACCATATTATTTTTTGTGGCTATTAATGACTGTTGTGTTCAATTGATAAAAAGCACACAAGATCTTTTTAGCTTTGGTAAATTAAATAAAGAACAAAATGTGATTAAGTCAGAAATCGTTTTTTTGTGTGTACCTTTATTTAAAAAAGCACACACACACAACTTACCGTCCACCTTTCATGCATTATTTTTTTTTTTTTGTGGAGAAAGCCTGTGGAAAATCAGAAAATTGAAAACAAATCTAAGAGTGAGAACTCAAAGTTACAACAGTTTATAACATGTTCTCTTTTGTTTTGTCTTTTATGACATAAATAAATCAACAAAATGTATCTGACATTTTAACCTTTTACCCTGTGGAGAGTTATCGGTTTGAACAATCTGCCATTGTGTCAGATGAAAGGGTAGTCTGAGGAGCCTCAACCACCAGCTGTGCTTTGTAGTCTTTTTTTAATTAAATGGCTACAAAGCACAGCTTATTTTTGAAGTATTTTGGAATTATTATATGCAGTTCTTTACAATTTAGTAAAAAATTGCATCAATTTTTTTGTGTGGCTTCACAACACACTGAGTAGAAGTCATCACTCTGAATTACAAAAGGCTTGGATTGATAAAAATCAACATTTTTAATTTGAGAAGATAGATTCTGTCACTATTTCAGACTACTTTTTTTTTAAGTTCTAAATATTCAGAAACACCACAGCCCTGTCACCATCCATGCTACCCTGTGTCTCCTTCGCTTTCTTATCCTCCCTTTGTGGTTGGGGTTGAATCATTAATATCACCACTAGCTGACAGAGCCTTGTCATCTGTTCTGACCCTGCGATGGTAGGTTACCTATGGAGAATAACCTCCCTCTGTGTCTCCCAAGGGCATCTTCTCATTCAATCATGGAGATGCTAAGAACAAGTTCCCTTTGCATGCAGGGAGACACAAGCTGGGAATGAGGCCTCCTGGATTTGAGAGCTAGATTTTTCATAGGACGCAAAAAAGCCTCTCCTTAAGGGGTTAGGAGAAGGTCCTTTTTGCCTGTCATAATGCTCAAACCATAAGGGATTCACAACTGTTTTTTAAATATTTTTTCTTCCTTAATTTGGATGCAGATGTTTTATGCTCCCAATCACACTAAATCTGATCCCTGCATCCCTCCTCATTATCCAGAGGTGTTGAAAAGTTGACACAGGCTTTGCCATCTCCCCTTCATCGCCATTGCCATCATCAATTTGTCACAACCCCTCACGCACATGGGTCTTGTCTCAGCCCATATTTCCCGTCCTTTCTCACCCTCCACTTAGGTGCTGGATGTGTGTCCTTTCTGGCTACCAGCTCAGCCCTGACATACTGGTTCCTCTAACCCTGCCCGCCAGTGAAAGGATCTGTTGTCATCTGTGTATTCCAGCCATTATCGTTTGACGTTTCTCTCCCTTCCAATGAAAGACAGAGTGTGTCTAAAAGCTTACAGAGGTATCCATGATGTTATCAGAATGACAGCTACTGCAGACAGGTTTCATATCCTTGTGCACCATTTATGTGGTGTAGTTTTCCTATCAGCTTTGAAGGTTATTGCATGCAAGGATATATCAGAACAGAATCTGCATCCAGATTAAACATGACTGCTTTTCAGGTTCTCTCTAAACATGTTTTAATTATGATAAAATTGGTCCCACAATTGTATGTTACAGTGACTCATAAAGGGAGATGCAAAAACTAATTATACTACTTAAACCTTTACATGTTTTTTACACGTTATTTTGACATGTCAAAATCTTGCAAATAGAGTTTCAAGTCTTTTGGCGTATGTCTGATAAACAATTAGAGAATTGATGCGCCATAATGGACTCGGGTTTTAATCCAAGGGCTATTTTATTTTCTAACTGTTCTAAAGTGTGGTTTAAATGTTGTCAGATTAAAATCAGTTTTGGAATCCTGGCACAGATTTTTAAATGGATGAAATCTTTACTTAGCCTTTCCTATTCCTAAATGCTTTGATTTAGCTATTTTATAGTTTTTACTGCCTTCAACCTGCTGGAAGGGGACCACCGGTCCAGTCTGACAACTTTGCAGACTATAGCAGGTTTTTCCTCTATGTAACTATGTCCATTTTGCCATGAACTCTGTGTCGAACCTAGTGGTTTTCAAACTCTGTCCTTGGGACCCCTGTCCTGTATGTTTGAGATGTGTCTTTGCATCAGCACCCACATCAAATGATTGTACTCCCTTCTCAGTAGCCACCATGAGCTGCAGGGGCCTACTAATCACCTATTTATTAAAGTCAGGTGTGTGGAGGCAGGGAAATACCTAAAATATGCGAGACAGATGGTCCTTAAGTACAGAGTTTGAAAACCACTGCATTATAGGACAGTTTTATACAGAGAGCATGATGCTCAATGTACTATCAACACATTCTTCCACCTGAGCTGTTGCAAATTTTTAATCCGTCTCCAAGTTAAGGTGGACCGTCTATGTAATGCCTCTCTTGCTCAACATCTCAGTTGAGGTGGACAGTCATGTCTTGATAGGTTTACACCTGTACCATACCCTCCCCATTTGACTTGAACAGTGCTCACTGAGTTTTTGTTTGTTCTCTCATGTTCTTAACACACCTCGGAGGCCTTTGCATATATGGTTGATATATAATGGTTTTAATTTACACAGTTGTACTTATTAGGTGACTTCTAAAGGCAGTTACTTTTAGTTGCACAGGATTTTATTCAGGTAAGGAGTAAAAGAACCTAAAAACAAACACGTTACAAATTTCTGATTTTTTTTATCAGGAAAACTTTTTACATATATCTATCAGATTGAATCTCTGAAAAATACAATATACTGGCTGTAAATGAAAAAGAAAAGCCCAGGGGTTATAAATGATTTTTGCAAGTCATTATCTGAGGAGGTAATCTAATAAAGCAGCTTCTTAATTTTTTTTTCTTGTCTTATAGGTACTTTGTACTTTACAAGTTACCCCAGCTTAAGTTTTTGGACTCCAGGAAAGTAACAAGAAAAGAGCTAATGGAGGCACAGGAGAGAGGGGCCTTCATGAAAGTGGTAAAGCCGAAGTCGGAGGGAGTAAGTTGTTCTCTTTTCCTTTTTTTACATGTATTTAGTTAAAGCACTGAAAGAATTTTGCTCACCATTTTAGTGAATTGCTTTGTCCTTTCTTTCTTCAGTTTTATGCTTGATTGCACCTCTCCCTTTACAGAGATCATGCTATTTTGGCCCTTTGAAAATAATCCCTCCTTTCTAGTGTTGAAATTGTATGTGTGTATAAATGTATTTGAGAATGCATGCGGCCACAGCCTGACCTGATTCTGTATGCATGAACCCAGATCAAAGGCGACGGGCGGTTGTCCGGTCACACTTGTGTTGGCTGATGTGACATGTCTGGCGATTGGAGTGACAGCTCATGTACAAGCTACGCACAAACACTTAATTATCTCAAACCCATGCATTCGTTGGTCGCTCTCTTTTTTAAAAACCAAAGACTAATTGGCTTTGGGATGTTCATTTGTATTACAGCTCTACCCTTTGTAACAACCTATTTAAAGGCACATCTCTTCCCCGGATTAGATTGAATGTAATTGTAAAGTCATTAAATATTTACAGTTTTGTCTTAGGTCTCTGATGCTCTCACAGGGAGAGGGGGAGAGTACAGCCAAAAGCTTCTAGTGACAAATAAGAAGCATGTGAGTTGATGGTGGTTTTAAAAAAAGGATGAGGAAAACAATATATCCGTTGTTTGAGATAATCAGCTAAGATTGTGTACTCTTTGAGTGTCACTCCATTCTATGGGTTTGATGCTCCATGCAAGTGGCAAGTAGGGAAACAAAACATTGAAATAATTTAACCTCAGTCTGCCGTGTTTAGCAGATGGAGAAAAGTAAAGGGAAAACACTGATCATCAACTTTATATAAAAAGAAAAGAGAGGTCCTCTACAATACTGTTTGGCAGGGTAAAGTCACTTTTAAGGTTGTATTTACATAGCCTGTCAGTGAAAAAGAAATGTTTGGCTTTGTCGCTGCAGCTATAGATGAAAGGAGAGATAATAACAGATTCTAGATGACATGATGTGTTTTTGTGTCTTGCTGTCTTTGAACCAGCTGTATGTGATTATTTTTCCCTTATGGAAAGTTAAAGTTAACAGCTTTCATATAAAGATGGGGTCTGCTTAACATTGTGCAGTCATTTAAGCACTCAAACACATTACTGTTCTTCTTTTCCAATTTCCCTTTTAGCATAGTAAAAGTCTGCACAAAGTGGAAAAAAGTTCATGGATTTATTCCAGGTTCGGACTCTGGTATTTCACTATAGCATCTCTAACTGTTTACATCATCAGAGTCATTGATAAGATGGCCGATGCTGCAGACCACCAATTAGAGAAACGTTTACAGCTTGAACAGGGAAGATGATGGCATAATTAGATACTTGTGTTTCCTTTTATGTTTGCTACAAAAGGGTGCTGCTAACAGTACAGCCTTTGTCATTATATTCATTACATGAAATGGTAATTAGCTGTCTCTTTGCTGCATGCAGTCATATTTTAAGTCACAAGCACCAGACAAAAAAAGAATAAAAATTAAGATTTTTTAATAAAATACTTGACAACTGATGTAGCTTAAAGATCATTTGCCTAATGTTATATTATTTCCTTCTAAATTCTTTTTATAATTCATCTTGGAGTAAACAGCACAAACACATTTAATCAAAAACAGAGTTACAGCAGCAACGTTAGCCGTGTTACAGTGATACATGCCCACTCTTGACAGCAAAAATTAACAAAAAAAGCCCCTTTCTATCACATCATTCTCATTGGCTGATATATGTTTTGGAAAAGGGACCGTGGCTAACTTCCAGGACCTCTCTTGAGTCATATAGAAGTTAAGTGTGACCACAGTTTAAACTCTCTGTTTTCTTCATCAAACCAGTGTGGCATGGCACTGAGTGATGCCACATGGCTCTGATAAAACAGTAATGGTCTTTAGCACAATCTGAACATCATAACTTTTCATACATTCACAATGTTTTCCATGTTGGCTAAATCGGAACCAGACAGTCAACAACTGTTGTTTGCAGAGAAAATCAGCACAGTACAAAAGCTTGTTTGTGAGAAAGTACAAAAAAGAAGTGGTCTAAAAGATTTATATGAAAGTCACTTAAAGTGTACTGAAACATCTGGTTCGGAGGACCACACTAGAAAAGATTTTAGAAAAGTTTTAGGAAAACTAAGAATGTCTTTATTTTGCATTGATGGAGAAAAACAAATCATAAACCACAAGGTGTGTTTTAAATAATCTATTATCAAATAATTCTGCTTATTTAAAAATCACAACTTTAAACCAACTAAACTGTTCAAATGGTTCAAATTGATTTGAAGTGATATAGAGTAGAATTAATCTAATACATTGTGTATATATTGCGAAGTATAGATTTGCCCTAATCTGAGAAAAAATAGATAATTTTGATACACATATGTGCACCTAGAACTGATTTTTCCCACTGCATCTGTAATTAATTTAGGCCTTAAAAAGGTTATGTCTTATATTGATGTTTGTTTATTCATTCCTTCTTCTCTTGACTTTTGTATACTTTTGTTTTTGATTTAGTTCATTTTATTGGGGTATTTAAAATCAGGGTATTACATTAGGTAAGTTATTAATTTATTTTTTTACTGATTCCACATAATTTTAAATTAATAGTTTAAAAAACAAGTAGGCTACTACTTCAAATTACTGCACACATAAACATATGGACAGATAAAAAGTAATTTAGCCTTCTTTCAGAAGCAATAAGTACTTTCTATGTTAAAAAAGAAAATCAAAAAGTTAAAACAAGTAGTAACCCCTTTAGTTACTGTATGTCTAGGAGAGTGAAATCTTTAAATCACAAGTGCATCATTTGTAGATAAAGAAAAGGGAGTTAAAGGCAGCATCAGCTCAGCTGATGTCCTTCCACAATCACAGCAAAACAGAACGATAAACCAGAAGAAACAAACAAAATAAGAAGGGCATTAAAAAATGACGCTAAAATGAAAGCAAACAATGTATACGGTACCCCTGCGTGTGAACATGACATCTGCAGCTTTTATACATCTTGCCGTTTTTCCTCCTGTGCTTAAATTTCTGGACTACTCTCTATGGGTCTGGACAGCACAGCCTGCACACATACAACATCACAGAACAGTAGAAAACAAGTCTTTGTGTCATGAAAGAGTGACAGTAATTTATTTCCAATAATTTTTTTTACAATCAGGTTATTGTAGTGATATTTTTGGACCATATCAGATGATGTCTTTAAGTGTTTATATTTGCAAACTCTCGCTAAAATAAACTACCGCTGGTATTTTCCTGACTATAAGACGCTACTTTTTTCCAACACTTTAAACAATGTGGCTTATAAGAAGGTGCGGCTTTTCAGTGGATTTTTCCTAACCGGCAGAGGGAAACGTTAAAATTTGAAATGATAGAATAAGGGGATAATTTTAATTTAGCACAAGAGTATGCTAGCAACAGGCACGACAAAGAAAGCATTTCCCGATTTCACAGCATTCTATCATTCTTCTTTCTCCCTACCCCAGGGGCAATATATAGAGAGCTCCCCCTACAGGTTTGTTGGGAAACAGCACGGTAGATAAAAGTGGTTACAGGCTGATGCAGCTTATATATGTACGTTTCCTTAAAAAAAAAAAAATAGTGGATGCGGCTTATGGTGAGGTGCGCACTATAGTCCAGAAAATTCATTATAAGCTTTATTAAAAGGAAGAGTTTCAAGCCTTTTTTTGAAAGTAGAGAAGGTGTCTTAGGACTAAAACTGTGTGAGTTCTACGGAAATGAGGCTTAAATACTGAAAGAGTCGCCTCCCATTTTATTTTTAGAAATTAAAAGAACCATCAGTTAACTTGCAGTCAGGGAGCAAATACGTCTGTTGGATGATGGAGCTTGATGATTAAGGGATATGTAAAAAGTGGTATCTCCCATTTTAAAGAAAGGCAATGAAATGAAGAAACTTCTAAGAAATATATCTTGTTTTGCTTTTATTTACCTAACTTATACAGTTTAACTGTATAGTTTGTGTTTAGTGGACATTTTAATAACAAGGTTAACACATTTTATGTCCCAACTGTCATATTATCCATCCTTCTACACAACATAAATTTCCAGATACAGAAGAGAAAAAAGACATGACATTGTTTACAAAATCGAAATTATTTTACTTTCTTTAAGGTGTTCTATACCTTAAACACCTTAAGAATAATTCCTATTGCAATATTATGTTGTTTTTTACTTGAACTTCATTCTCTCTTCCATTTGCCTCATTTCTCAGCCTAAATTTTAAGCAACATGACTAAAACCAAGACAAAATGACAAGACAGATAGAACAAATGTATAAATACCAGAAGTAAACAGAAAAAACTTTAGTGATGATTGAAGTCTTCTCCAAAAACCATAACACTAAACAGAGTCAGACGGGAAAAACCTGAAGCTGTATTTTGGGAATTTGGGGCGTGTTGGAATGTTATAATGTGATAATTCACTTTGAGGACTTAGAGGTTATGGAATGAGATGGCGTTAAACCACGTAGGACTATTTAGACTTTGCTGGGCTGCTTTTGGAAAATACATGTGGTAGTTTTTGGCTCACTCCTTCCTCCTCCTTCCTTTTTAGCCGTAGAGCCCACATTAGGCTGTCAAACCTTTGAGTTAAACTGACCGTGTCTATCAAACATTGTGACAGCACATTCTGTTTTCACATCCTGAGCACTACGAAATGAAAAGTGCATAAAAAATTGAACTAGTAGAATAACATTTATGCCATTAAACACAATAGTGTTTGACAGTGAATGAGGTAACTCCTTGGTCCCTCACACTAACACCGAGCACTGCATGGCGGCTACGTCAGCAGGTACAAACGTTCTCAGAAGTCACTTAGATTTTCCTTGGCTGAAGTATATGGTTTGATTTTCGAGCATGAAGACTTTTTTTCTGCCTGTAATGTAAAACAGACCACATTGCAGACAGACTTGGGCCAGCTCCTGGGTCCCATGAGCATCTGCACGCAGGGTAAACGGCTCT